TGGTTGCAGACCGTTTCACTAGCTAGGTGAAATCACTAATTCATATTTGTCTTTCGCAAACGGCCATCTTGGCCGATATGTATTCATCCAATCAAGGCTTGCCCTTAATCAGAAATTAGGCAGCGTCTTCGCGGGGAGGCATCGCCTCCCTGGCGGGACATCGAATTTTCGATTTATGCAGATTAGACAGGAGTTTCCGAGCCGTTTCTCCGATATTAATCCATCTATTAAACGCTTTTGTCGTCGATCGATTCGCTCGAATGATCGAAGCGAATAATTCAAGCGAAACAAAATTCCATTTTTCCGAAAGAATCATTCCCGACTCGAGAACCCAATTAATCTCATCCCTTTCCTCCTCCTCATCTTTCCAAATAAAAAAAAAAAAGAAGAAAAAACTTTTCTTTTTCAATCGAATCGGGTATAAATAATTCCATCTCTAAATCTTTTCACCTGTCCAAATATCGAGGCGAATCGAGGCAAACTCTAACTCTAATCGATTCACGCCGATTTCTCCCTCCGATTCGATCGAGGGATTCGATAGCACGGAGCCACTGTATTAACCGGTAATCTCGTTACCGTATCGTCTACGAGACCGTGTGGTTAGTCGGGCTCTTTAATTAGAAATTAGACAGTCGCTTTCACCCAAGTTGGTCTCTCGTTGCGCCAAGTTTCCTTCGCCCCCTTCGATTCGGGGAAGGGAACACGCCCCCTGAATTTTCCATGTAGATGGAATTAGAATCGATCCACACCGGCAAATGGAATTAATGAAGAAAGGCTTTACGATATTCTTTCCACTCGCTTTCCACTCGATCGAAGAAATTTTATTACCAAATAACTTGGATGAATCTTCCTTCGTTAATTAAATTAATCAGATTTGAATAATATTGTTGGGTTGGACGCCTCCATGAGACATTCATGTTCGAAATTTTTTAATTCACAAAAAAATATGCATTATCCTTTCCCTAAGGAAAGGAAGGAATAACAACGGAGAGGGACGGACACGAAATCCGTGAGAGAAACACAAGAGGAGGGGGAAGAAAGAATTCTCGGCCGAGGAAAAAGCGTGATCCGCGCGCGAATCGATCAGGCTTGGGTCGAGCGTGAAACAGGTGGCCCCCCTCCCCTTCCCCCCGGCCATCCCAGGATTTGGATGGATCCGTCGAGTTGTTGGTAGCGGTAAATCGAGCCATCGTGGCTTGTCAGGTTCGCAACGGTGCATGCACCGTTGGATCGTGTAAGCGGCATAATCCTCGAGAAGACGACGAGCTTCTCGATAACCCGACGATGCTTGCTTGCCTCGTGGGGAAACGAAAGACGAAAGGAGAACGAAGGGAGAAGGTTATAATTGGCTGGAACAATTTCTCGAGAGGAATTAAATAGAAATAGTTGGATATGAGGAGGAGGGGAAAAAAAAAGAGAGAGAGAGAGAAGCAGATTGGCTTGGATTTTTTCGAAGATGGAGATCGAAGAAGGAAGAAATATTATAAGAATAAGAGAAAATCGTCAATTCGCGACGATGATTTTTCTGCAACGCGAGGTCTCTCTGGATTAAAACTTGGAAGAATAAAAGTGGAATCGAAGGAGGAAGAAGCGAGTTGACGAGGGGGGATTAAGAAGTCGTCCTCTGGGATGGGTAATAACGAGAAGCAGCGGTATTTGTAAAAAAAAAAAAAAAAAAAAAGGAAAAAGGAAAAGTAAGAGAGAGAAGAAGGTGTGAAGAAGAAGAGGAAGAGAAAGAACGATTGATCGCGACTGCCTTCGCCCAGATTAACTTTCGTAACTCGTTCGTTAAGCGATCTCGTCTCGCTTAAAGAGGCATCGATTATCGCTGTTGCGTTGATCGATCGATCGATCGATCATTCGGCCGCTCTCGATGGCGCCCCCATCGACTCCTATTCCATCTATCGATCGGTGAATTTTGTTGAACAGTTGAATCTGCGTTTGGATTGGAACAGTTTCTACCGTTACGTGATCGATGCGAAGCGAGTAACTTTTCTTTTTAGATTATTTTATTAGACGAGATTCTATTTATTCGTCATCGAAATCTCCTCTCTCTCTCTCTCTCTCTCTCTACGGAGAAAAACGAAATATCGAGAATTCATTCCTTTTACGCGCGAAAGAAAGTAAAAATTATCGAAAGTTGTTTTCAAGAATTATTTTTCGTTAATGGATATTGCGCGTCGAGAGTGAAAGTTACTCCTCCTCCCCCACGCTGAAAGACTCTAGCAAAGACTCTCTCAAATTATATTTGCATTTTGCAAAATATATATATATATAAATAAAAAAAATAAAACCTTTCCTTCATCCTTAATGGCGCGAAATTCGAGAAGAGAGGGAAGGAAATATCCTTGGAGCCAATTTCTCTGGAAAGAAAAAAAGAAGAAGAAGAAAAGGAAGGGAATATTCTTCGAGGATATTCTCGTTTCTATATCGATCCCAAGCGGAATTTCTCGAAACATCTCGTGGAGACGTTCGAGGCGACACGTTCGTGACCTCCGCGGTTTCGTAACACGCTCGTAACGAAAAGTGACGCGCGCACAGCCGAGAACAAAACGGTGCTCCACGTAACCAGCGAGAGAGCAATCTGCACGTAACCGACCGGCCGCTTACGTAAGATGGTTGGCCGGGCCCGCCGAGAGGAAGTCTCCTCCACCGGAAGGGATTTCGAACGGACGTGACGGAGATTCGAAGAGGGCCATTGCTACCATTTTCGATCCCCTCCTTGTTCGGGAGCCCGATTTCTTTGAGCTCGCCGACTGTCATTCGATTGGACGATAATTGGAAAACGGAATCGTGCGAGTTCGATCGAGGATGGAATTTTCTTAGATTTAAGGAAATTCCGTGTTAATTCTGATTCTGAATATTTGTTTGAACGATTGCGTGAAGAAGCAGGATTCGATTTGAGAGAATATTCTAATGACCAAGAATGAAAAGTTGTACTTGACTTTTGTCAAACAAGTAATTCAAAATCGACACGGAGAGAATACGAAGATATCCATCCTTTCTTTAAATTTAACAATATTACAATATTATATATTATATAAATTTTTGAAAATGATTAACTTTACACCGTCATGGAAAAATATATTGAATGTTTCCTTCAACTCTCCCAACTTTCCAGTATTTTAATCCTCGAATTCCTCGCGAATTAAAAATTTTCTCGTCAATTACACCCTTTGAAACCTAATATATTCTATTTCTTTTTACAGTCGACAATATTTTATTCGAATCGAGATTGCAAACAAAAAGAAAAAGAGAAGGTGGGCGGAGCCGAGGATTTCGCCTTGAAATTAAGCTTCTTCTTCCTCCTCGTCGTGGAAACGTGACGGAGCACGACGTTATTGATCTTCCGCCGTTCGTAACGCGAGAGAACCGGAGCCTCGAGATTTATTGGGTTACCTACGCGGTCTACACGTGTCCCCCCCTCATCGTAAGTTTCGGCTTAATTTCGTTTTCTGAAAGGAGTCGAGACCTTCCTGTCCGGCGACGGCCATCGGGAATCGGAGCACTTTGAACGGCCACTCCTTTTCGCAGTAAATTTCAACGAAAGCGAACGGTGATCCGATCGATCTTGAAACTCGTTCAACGTGTTTTTTTTAACCCTAATTGTTTCAGAGATCGAAGATTTAGAGGCTAATGAACACCGTGGGGTTAGGTAAGGGTTGTTTGCTCGCCACTTGCTCGATTGTTTGCTTACACATTAGTTTGGATATTATAATTTCTGCTTGCTTCTGAGATTTAGAGGGTAATAATGATAATTGTTTGAGAAAATAACGTTTAATCTGGGGATAAATACTTTCTATTTGAAATTTATCCTCCACTTCTCACACTTAACTATCCTTAATCAATATCCAATCTAAAACTACTTGTCAAATCTATATCTCTATATCTCCACCCTATACAATATTCCTCCAATTCCAATCCCCTTTCCTCTTCTGTTCTCACAATTAATATCGCTCTCTCCCTCTCTCTCTCTCTTTCCCTGGGAATATACACCACTGGGACAATAGAGACAGACTTCCGTCTGAATAACATATATATATAAAAGAAAGTGGAAAACGTCGGTTCAAGACGATCGACCGATCAGGATCGACGAGGATCTCTCGATCACGATACCTATTCCTCCTCCTCCTCCTGCTCCTCCTACGCTTTAATTGGTGGCTGCCACGGTGGTGGTGGGCCCGATTAAAAGTTTCCGCGTCGCTTCGAACGAGCGTTGCGTGCGCTCAGCTTCCGCCGATGCTTGAAAAATGGACGAGGAACGGGTTAAGTGGTCGAAGAAGAAGATCCTCCGTGGACAAGTCGGATGGATCGTCGACTTCGCGTGATCGCCATCCAACGATTCTTTGTATCCTTTTCTCGTATTTTTTTTTCTTTTTTTTTTTTTTTTTTTTTTCTGATCGTTCGTGCTCGATGGTGGACAAAGGAGGATGCATGGAGAGGAGAACAGATGTTCGAGAGAAACGTCATGTATATATATATATATATATATATATATTCAGTGGTTGGACGTCGAAGATTTAGATTTTGCAATTTCTTTTGCAAAATTTTGGATTAATGAAATGTCTCGAGACGTGAATTGTTTTAGAAAAATTTGTTTTAAAAATTTGTTCTTAAAGTGTATATGTAACTGTAGAAAATTAAAAATTTGACGTTCTTTTTTTCCATATAATCGTCGAGCAAGGGGAAAACATACATTTCGAGAATTCGAGGGGGGAGATGAGAGAAAGAGGGAATAAAAAACGTGGATTTTTTTATCTTCTTGGAACAACGCTGTTAAAATCGCGATATTTCCACGTAAAATTCTTTATACCTCTCGCAAGAAGTTGGTCTCGTGGTTGGAATTTATTCCCATAGAGGAGGCCAAGTACAAAGTCCCGGAAACACGAGTCAACGAGTAAAAGAATCAGCGTTTTCGGACTTCTCCGAAAAGACAAACCTGTTTTTAACTTTGTGTTCTCGTCAAGTATATACATATATATATATATAGAAAAGGATACATTTCTTGGAAGAAGTCCAGATGAGGTGGTTGAAGGATGTCCAGGGCCGAGAGAACCTGGAAAAAAAAGAAAGAAAAGATCGAAATTATGGGCGAATTCGAAAGAGGAATTTGCAAAAACTGTGATCATAATGGAACGTGTAATTTAAAAGTCACGCGTCTTGTTCACTCGTGCATCATCCCCATAACGAATCCATTTATTTTTATCTCTCTCAGATCATTTTATCATAGAGATATTTGATCGAAGTATAATATCATATTTTAAAATCTTTCCTTATTTAAAAAATTGCCGAATATATATATAAGGTAATAAACTCGAAAATACGAAATTTTTTAAACAACAGTCGGTTTCTTCCGTATCGACATTTTTCTTAAAATTAATGGAATTCGAAAACACGAACGAGACATCGGCACGTTCCTCCAGTGGCCGCACGATAATGCGTTTATCTGGCTCGTAAAACAAAATGTATTTTCCGCAGATAACCACGAAGTAGATAAGTGAGTTATGGAAAATCGGCAAACTTGGAGGAGGTGGGGGAAGGGCGCGAGATCGATTTTAAGGAGGGGAGAAGTTGGCTGTTCTTCCGCGTCGAGTTCGAACATCTTGAATATTTTTTTTTTTTAATAAAATAAGAAGTTGAGCGAGAAGTTATGCTTGAAAATCGAGCACGATTGGAACGTGAAATTTATATCCCGATTAAAAGTTGTATACTGTTGCGGATTATTAATAAATCGCGTGAGAAGAAGTGTATTGTACATTATTGTAATAATTAGAAGTTGGATAATTGGAAGAGGGAAGAATTTTAATTTTCCTTTATTTCTAAAGTTCAAACGATATTTGCATAAAATTTGCATGGGGAAAATTTCGAGCACAAATTTCCCCGAAAAGAGAAATAACAAAAGTATATATCTCGTAGATATAATTTAAAAAGTGATAACCCGTTCAAGTTTATGTTTAAGTCTATGTTTCCAATGCATAAAATTTGTAGAACAAAGTTTTACGCGAAAGTTTTTCTTTCTCGAACTGGAATGGGAATAAAACTGTCGAAGGAAATACGAAGAACAAAAACATAAAAGGATATAACGGGGGATAATTTAACACGAGTGAGCGTGTTTTTCAACGATGTTAATATTCACGATATCGTTCTCGAGAAGTTGTGAGAGAATTAAATGTGAGAACGCGTTCACAATTATAAAGCGTCGTTATTTTGCGAAACAAATGTAATAAACTTACGTTTTCGTGTTTGAAGAAGCAGAGCATCTTCAACTCCCTGAAGACTCGTTTGCTGCTCACGAGGCTCTGAAAGACATTCGGCAGTTTTTTCAAGGCCACTCTTCTACCATCCCTCGGATCTGTCACTGCCCTGTAAATTACAAAGGAAATCGGCGTTATCGATAAGAATCTGTAGAGGGAAAGAGAAAGAGAGAGATCCTTCTCGAATTTATTCCTTCATTTCTTTCGATTTCTTCGATCTTTCTTTCCTTTGAAAAACGCGTGTTGCTTTACAAGATCGTTATAAGATCGTTCGTTAATTCGACAACACTTTTACTTTTTTTTTTTTTTTTTTTTTAATTCGTTTTGGAGAAATTCGAATGTCAGAATGTAGAGCGCGTATTGAATATTTCGTATGGAAAAAGAGATTCATCAAAAAAAAAAAAAAAAAAAAAATGAAATCTTGACTCAATTTATTTATGAAAGTTGAAAATAATCGGGAGTCGAAATTATATTCACCGATTCTTCTTTCGTAATTCCTAGTTCAACGACTATAAATTTCAAATTTATGATGTTTTTAAAGAAAGTGCGTTGAGATAACACACTTTTCCTTCGCCCGTACGTAAGATGTTTACCTTGTTTGAACGTGCGTATACTTTCAATTTTAATTCGTTGCTAGAAGCGGATTCAAAGGATTTTCGAAAATCTCGGGCTTGATTTACATAGATTGCATACGATTTCGCGCATAAATATGTTTCCTCGAGAGCGGAGTCAACCGCCATTTAAATCGTTAAGTTTTTTCTAAAAAAACTCTTTAAAAACTCTTCCTCTGATGAACTTGATGGATCCATTGCCAATGGATCTATCAAAAAAGAGAAAAAAAAGAATCGATCGTTCATCGTCGTTTATTTATCGAGAATAAATNTTAAGTTTTTTCTAAAAAAAACTCTTTAAAAACTCTTCCTTTGATGAACTTGGATCCATTGCCAATGGATCTATCAAAAAAGAGAAAAAAAAGAATCGATCGTTCATCGTCGTTTATTTATCGAGAATAAATCCTAATCTCCGTTCTCGATTCAGTATTTAATTTTATCTTCTATTTGCTTTGAATAGACACGGTTAACGTGCGGAATACAGTCGAGCGGCAACGTCAATCCAAATCAAACATCGATTAAATCGTATTAAATCGAGGCGAAAAATAATCACTCGTGATATACCATCGATGCCATTTAAAAGTTTCTCGTAATTCTTTACGAGATACGGAAATATTTCCAAAAATATTCGTTCGTCACATTGACGAATAAAAATCTGAAAGAAATAACTTTTTTCACAAAGTACCTTTTCTGAAGAAATTATTCTTTTCACACTTAAAAAATTATATCTTCGCTCTTTTCACTTCCCAATTTAATCACGAATTCCAAGGAACCGCAACTTATATTATTCAAAATTCCAAATTCAAAACGTGATTACGAAAAATAAATAAATAATAATAATAATAAAAAACGCTACAATGAACCAATATTAATCTTCCCATTAATCTCATCGACCTCGTTAAAAGCAAAAACAAAAGGAAAACCATAGAGAGCCGGTTTGGAAAAACAAAAAAAAAAAAAATCGTCCGTCGAGCGGCAGAAGCGAAATCCCAAAAGAATCGCAGATGGCCGGGATAGAGGAGAGAATATCGTGCACGCGACGATAAATTTCGACGTTGTCCGTCGATCCGCGGACACGAATACAGGGGAGGGAGTGGAAGGGGGTGGGAAGGGTTAATAACAGAGGCCACGATCGATTCGTAATCCGCGAGCGGCAGACGACGAGGTCGCAGCGGGGCCCGGGACCGTGGAATAATTATTGTGCCTGCAATTAGTTCGTTTACGGTGGCTCGATTTCATTGTCAGCCGGCCGGCCACCGCAAACCGACGATTCCAATCCCTCGTTTTCATTCGACGGTCAATCTCGTCCGCCCTGTCCGAGCCAAAACCCTTGCGCGTCGTGATAAACCGATTTTTTCTTTTTCCACCGTTCATTCTTGCTCCCTGTTAAAATCGGAGCAGGAATTTCGACGAACGTGTCTCTCTCTTTCTGGAGGGGTTAAGGAAAGGAAACGTATACTCGTTTTTTTGGAAATCATTGAATTTGAGGATAAATGAAATAAATAATATTTTTTTTTTTTTTGAGGGGAAAGATTGGTTTCGAAATTACTCGAATCTGAGCGTAAATATTAAATGGAGATACTGGAGATTTTTTAAATGAAAACACAACTAGAAGAATATTTAAATTTTCGGCGTACAAAAATTCAAAGAGAAGGAGGCGCGTGGTCCACTCCCCACGGCAACGGTAAATTATCAACCCTATCTGGACATTACGCACCCTAGGAGCATATTTTCCACGAGAGGACTCGAGATTCTCTCTATCTCTCGGTTTGAAACAAATCCTCCAGCAGAGGCAGAGTCAACAGAAAGGTTTATCGGGAGGGCGAAGGAGAGGAGGAAAAACGTGGAAGAGGTCGTAACTTTGGCAGAAAATTGCGACTGCCCTGTTAAATTGCGCGTCCTTTATTCGCTTTATTTCCTCCGAGCCGTTTCCTCCTCTCTCCTTCTCGTCTGATTTCCCTCCCTCTCCCCTTTTTTTTTTTTTTTTTTTTTTTATTCTCGTCGCATGCAGGAATTTACGCGCGCCACCATCGCTTGATAACAATGTTGGGGTTACACGTCGCGGAGGGGATACACCTCGCGTCACGTGGGCCGGATGCGAGGAGAAGAGGAAACCTGTTCGAGCGATTCACACGCACCGGGCCGACAACACCATTGATTCAAAGCGAATTCACCTCGATTAAATTACCACCGGCCCCGATCCTAATTACCGTCCGATCGAATTAACCGGATGGAAAGAAGAGGGAGGATGGAGGGGGAGGTAGGAGGGGGAGTTGTTGTCTTTACTTGTTGCTTCGAGAAGCCTCGAAGTTTTCTTCTACTCCTCGCTCGAGAAAAAATGATCATTTGAATATTAAATTACGCGTTTTTCACGTTATGAAGTAAGGATACTAGAGTGAGATTAGATTTTATTACGTATAGATAATCGGTATACGGTGATTGGAGAAAGTTTAATCCAAGGATTCTTCTTCACTCGAGCTCGATTAATTTTTAAATTTTTGGATCGAAAAGTTTCGAACTTTGTTGCCAATCTTTTCTTTCTTTCTTTTTTTTTTTTTTTTTTCCTTTTTTTCGAATCGAAGAAAGATACGGGGAGGGGAATGGGGATGGATTCGGAAACTTTTCGATCGAATTTGGGGGCCGTTGATTATCTTATCGGAGAGGAGTCGAAGGAGCGGAGATTAAGTTCGATTCACAGAAGCGAGTCACGAACGAGGAAAGGTGCGATGACCTTCGAAAAGGGTCATCGCACTCGGTCTGTCTGCCGAGCATAACGGAAGTGAGGCCACTGATTTCGAGTAGAACGACCCTCGCGTCGCGGATTCGCCTCGACTAATTCGACTAATTCGACGTCGTAAAAATTTTCATTAGATTCCGATTTTTTTCTTTTCTCCTTCCCCCTCAAAATTACGTATTATTAATCCCTATCTCGTAATACATAATTATTTAAGTAGTAGTATCAAAAATTGGATCGACAAGCAATTGAAAATGTATTACTCTTCGAAATGTCTCTACGGAGATCTATTAATAATAATTTCTAAAGTTAGGATAGATAGGAATATTCGAGAATCCATAGTTGTGCACAAGAAACACATCTAATTAATGCGATTAATTGTTATCGAATTACGTAAAAGTAAAATTTGCGAAAAGGCTTTGTACCAAGAAAATATTAAAAATAATCGTTCGATCGAAGCCTCCTTACGAAATATCTCGAAATATCCCCCAATTATCCCCCTCCACCCAACAATTACACTCGAGACATCCATTATCCCTCGCCGATGAAACACACGATTGCCGCGCGAGTCCATTCACACACAGTGAACGTCATTCATCCCCGAATAGAACAAACCTACCCTCCCCTCTCTCCCCCCGTCATTGGAAATTCCGATAGAGAAAAGGACCTTCGAGCGGNAAAAAAAAAAAAAAAAAACGCTATTCTATTTCCATCCAAAAACAAATCCGATCCTTTCATCCCCGTCGCGCGCGCGAATGTACACTTATTTATAAATTCAGAACGAGTGGAGCATTTTAAAAATAACCGAACCGGACCGAATCGACAAACAGACTAGCTGCTTACAGCACCCTCCGCACGTAACAAATACGAATTTGAAAACTGAATCTGCTCTCCTGCTCCTCCTCCCCCTCCCTCCCTCGGTTTATTTATAGCGGATCGTTTAGCCGGCCGTTTAACCGCGAACAATGCCCATTTTCTGCGGCGGACGCGAACGCGCGCTTTTTGCGCCGCTTGTTTACCGCTCGCCCCATTCAAAGTGGAATATCCCATCGAGAGAGAGAGAGAGAGAGAGAGAGAGAGAGAGAGAGAGAGAGAGAGAGAGAGAGAGAGAGAGAGAGTCCCGTTGCTGCAATCCCCGCACGGAAATGTAAAATTAAATCGCGTTCGAATCGAAGAAGAATCCTCTCCTTGTCTTGGATTCGAATCCTCATCTTGGGAGGAGGGATACGAACGCGAGGAATCTTTTTGAGGTGGATCCTCCCTCGGGTTCGGTTCTTTCGCGAGGTGGTCGAGGATGGTGTTGGAGAGAGGGGAAGGGTGAAGAGGAGAGGGTTGTTGGTTTAATTTGTATTTTAATCTTAATTGGAAACTTGAAAACGAAGGGGTCGGATGTAAATTAATATTCTTGGTCTTTTTTTTTTTGGAAAAAATGGAAATCTTGGAAACAGTTGTTGGGTATTGGTTCCTTTGAAGTTGGGGAGGAAGAAGAATTTGTTTCTTTGATTTAAATTTGATCGGTGGAATGGTTTGTGACTAATGTTGAGTTTTTTTTGGAAAATGAAAGATTCTTTGATTCTTCTGTTTTGAAGTTTAAGGATATCGAGAGAAGAAAAAGATTCTATTACTTCTATTGCTTGGTGATCCATTCAAAAATATTTCGTATGTTTTTATCGATAATGTGATTGATATCCGAGAGCCAAAGATATATTTATCTGAAAACTTTACGAATTCCAAGAGAAAATATTCACGCTGTACTGAGGATTG